TATAAGTGACACCACCAGTGGCTCTGACCTTAGGCTATTGCAATAAGGCTGAACTTTACATCCATAGCTAGGAGAGTGAGCCTTAATGAAGCTGATTCTAAGGTCTGAAGTCACTGGTCTCATAGCATTTGGGATCCCTATGGTATAGATTGGAATAGTTTCTTGAATCATTCGACGTCTAACGAACTGATTTGTCAAATGGTAATATATTCTATTGGTTAACTACCCATTCTTTTCACTCAGGTAATTATCCTACCATGAAGCAATGGATTTAAAAACTTAAATTACAAATTAACCTAATTCAGTAACAGAGGACTATTCTTCTGAGGTCATCATTATGTAAATGCTATGAAAGCTGGAGAAAAATTAATATTTGAAATAATCCAGCTAGGGTAAAAAAAAAATGTAATGTCCTTCCAAGATATAAAAGATTATTCCTTACATTCTTTCTGCTCCATAGAAGGAATGAAAGTGATCAGAAGCCTTTTCTCCAAACTATAGAGGTCTTAGTACGTTTTATTAATTACCATTAAGTACTCTACTCACAAGGTTAAAAAAGACAAAGAACATTCAGTATGACTGCAAAAGTTAAGCACAATAAGTAGATGAATTTATTAGCATATCTGAGTGGTTATGTGTACATATGCATGTGCATGTGCATTTATGTACAAAAGTGCTTTTTTGAACTTTGTATCTGCATGATATTCTCACTAGAACCTCATGTTACTCAGAAGCTTTGCAACTGTGCAAAATTGGTCCCACAGATTACTAAGGGAATATTTATTATATATTCTCTGCCTTACATTCAAGTGAGAGGGAACTTGTGGTTTATCTTTTAGATGCTTTCAGTAGGGAAGCCATAGGTATGAAGTAAGGCATTTTGAAAGTTATTGGTATATTTGAGAATATTAGTTCAACAACCATGGCAAAGTTGTATTGTGAGGCAATTTTATAAAATATCAATTTCTGAATAATGTGTTTCATTCTTCTATACATATGCAGAAAGAACATTTCTGTGTTGACTATTCTGAGTTTCAGTCCCCTTAAAGTAGTGGAAATCAATGAAAATGACACAATACTGAAATACACTTCATGACTGATCATCAACTGATTTATTTTCTTATGAGAAACAAATGGGACCCAGCAATGAAAAAATGGAAAGTCTGGTATTTACTACAGCCTCTATAGTATGGTGAACTGACGAGCAAGAAAGAATCCTATGTCTATCATTTAGCTTTCATAATCTAGGCACTACTTATTCTAATCCTTGGGCGTGCATAATCTTGACAGACTTACTAGGGTTCAAATCAGTCATGGGTTCCTCCCTATACATTACCTGTGACATTTTCCTTTCAATTATAGTCATTTGTTTACCTTCTTTTATAAGCAGTCTTCTGTATCCTATAGCTATAGTGTGTCAAATGAACTATTTTACTGACTAGAACTGACGTGTTTGTTTCCAGATTAATAAACCCAAACTCTTAAAAAAAGGATAATATGAAAGAAAAACTGAAGAAACAAAAGAGAATGGCACAAACCAAAACATAAGCAACACTATAAAAATAATACCCATGCAAATTATTCAACATGCAATTAAAAACAAAATAAAAAAAGAAGAGAGCAGTGTTGTTCAAACAAAGGCAGTGATCCAATGCTATTGCCATCATGCAGTATTGGACTTGTGCCCCACATTGGACTCCACCGTAGGAATGTACATTACGTGATGTTTGACGATGACTCCAATTTTCACAGCAGGCACTAAAGTTTTTAAAATCTTCAAAATGTTTAAATGAATGTTTGTAAAAAACATGAGCTACAGAAAAGTAGTTTACACATATGAAAAGATAACTCTAAAAAGAAAATTAAGACTGAGAACTATAATAAATAAAAACAAACAAACATGACTGGCTTTTTGAAAAGGAAGAAATCATAAAAACAAAAAAGAAAAATAATAATAATAAATAAATAAAAAGGGAAGAAAATTGATAAATCACATCATATAAACATATACCACTGTGTCTGAGACATTTTCCTTCTAATAATGCATGTCTGTTTGTCTGTTATGAATATGTGTGTGTGTGTGTGTGTGTGTGTGTGTGTGTGTGTGTGTGTGTGCTGTCTGCTACAAAGCTTCTTGAACTCTCAAACTTTGAATTTAGTAAAGTGGCAAAAGTGCTGCACTTAAACTGCAAAGAAGTTCTGGTTCCAACAAAAAAAGAAATTTTAAGAAAAAGTATCCCAAATTACTCTTAAACTGGCAAACCTAAGTATCCTATTTCTGCTAAAAAATTCTATCTTCTTTTTTTAGCACTTAAACTGGTAGATTCAATTTTTCTTTTCCTATTATATTCTCATACTTTCCTCATCAGAAGTTCTGCAAATTACTGAAAACTTTTGAAGTAACAAAAAAAGAAAAAAAAGAGAAAAAAAAAGAGATTATACAAAATTAAATTATATATCAAGCATTTCCCTGATCTTCCTCAACCTGTTTCAACAGCTACTACTTCACCAAATAAGACTAAATCGCTTCTTCTTTGGGATGTTATTCACGCTAATCTTTTTCATGGGTCCAGTGTGGTTTTTGCGTGGCTTGAAGAGGTTTACCTGGAGTCCCACTTTGATCTTCTTGGTGAGGGCTCCCTGGGGGAACACTGCCTGGACCTGTGGTACAACTGTTGATGACACCATTCCTCCCTCAGGTCCGATGGCATGGACCTAGAAAAAACGAAACAAAATACCAAAGATAAAAAAGAGGGCAGCAATATTACAAGAACATTACATAATTTTTTTTTTTTTTATAATATACATAATACTTACCAAGCTATTACAAACAATCAGTGCTTCTAGGATACAGGAAATCATAATCAATAATAATTACTACTGGTAATTGGGTAAATGACACCAAGATAATGAGTAACAACTGACCTCTTGTCGGATGCGTGTAACAATTGCAAAGTACTGTGGGAAGTCAGTTGTGAGGATGCGTGTGATGCGGTTTGTATTGAGGTCCTCTAGTTGCTTCAATTCTGTCAAAGAAAACATAAGAATCAATTACTTCACTACTAAAACTAGATATTTTCAATGAAGAATATTATATTTTTGTAGTTTTACTGCATAATAATATTTGGCACATGGCAGTCTTAAAACTATCATGGGATATGCCACTTTTTTCTGAGTCCTTCAAATCAATAATTACAAATATATATGTCAGGACTTTTTCTTGTAATCTGATCTTACTAGAGCTAGCTTCATATCAGGATGGAAGTTTCCAGTCACTAACCTTCACCATCGAAGCTCTCGTTTAAGACCTCCTGCACAGCTTCCTCAGTGGCCTCCAGTGTATGTTCACGCCAGGTCTCTCCATTATCTGAGCGAAGGATCACAATCTCACGCTCCTTGCCACGCAGGGAAGCAAAGTGTGGCACCTCGATAATAACAGGGCTGCAGATAGAGATGGAAATTAGTTTAGTCATACAAATATCTTCTTTCATTTATTGCCAAATAGGGTTAATGAGGAGGCGGAATGCAAGTGGGGAAGATGGAGAAGGAGAGAGGGGGGAAGGAGGGAGCACATTTAAATAATCATGAAAAAAAAATTAAAAACTTACCCTAAGAATTTTGCACCTGCAGGACCCATTTCAAGGATTCTGGAACCAAGTGCTTCTCCTTCCATGAGTGGTGGTGCGTGAACGAGTTTATCCTTCTTCAGATAGCGGCAAGTGATCCTCATGGGCATAGCAGCTTTGCGTGGAGGAATGATCACACGGACACCCGAGTGGCGGCAGCCACGCATGGCCCCACCCCGGGCGTCTACCATGAAGCTCACCAAGAATCTGCAGTGCAAGCCATAATGAGCATGATAAAGTCTATGGACATGTGGCTTTGGACCACATATAGTATCTTGGCTTTGCTTGGAGCTATTATGTCTTTGAAGTATTTCCAGTCAGCTTTGCTACTATATGTGGTCCATTACCAGTTCTTCAGGAAATGATGTTTTGTGATCAGTTGAGAAGAATTTAAGAGAATAATTCTATGAAAAAAGTGAATACTTTTAGAAAAAATTATGTTGTATGAATGCTTAGTGTAAATAATTTTTTCAACAAATATACTGAGAATGAATGGTAATAATTCATCTATGTCTTAAATCAATAACTTGACACAATTTCTATAATAACCAAGAAATACAAATATCTAAGTAGAATAAATCTAAATAAGATTTTATGATTTATCAATAAAAATAATCTGATCTTAATTTTTTTCTCAAATCCAAAGTCAATAGAATGCCTGAAATATAAGACATTTTGCTATAAATAATATAAAAGATGGAAAAGAGAGCTGAAACAAGAATGCATTCAAATTCTACAGAGGTCTTAGCAATTTGAGACAAATCAAAGAATTACAAGAATATTAGTAACAAATAAACCTCATAATTCAATTTCAACTTGTTATTTTTCTTGTTGCATCTACAGAAGATTTTAGCCAAATCACTCAATACTCACGTCTTCCAAGAGAGTTTTCTGTTATTGAAGCGTGCAAGAAAGGTTAGATATGCACAGTTAGTAATTAGCTGCACAAAAGCCTCACACAACAGATACACTAAACACTTGTTAGGACATAAAGGGCAGAGAACATGAGCACATATAGATCATATGTAAATATACACACATCAAGGTATGTGTATGTGTACATTTGTATTTAATCCACACAGCTAGTACAGTACAGCAAATGAAATACATAGCCCACAAATATATTCCCAACATATGAAATTACTCACAAATATCAATAACTGAACACTAAAATAATGACCATGTTGACAATCTATCTACCAAAACTGAAAACAAGGACACAACCAAATGATGCCTTCATCTGGGTTCAATAAAGTGGAATTTCCATTTCAAGCTAGCCAACATTAACCCTTATGGCTGGTGAGTTTCAAACTTCATGGCTGCACAGAGGACTTAACCCTCACTTTGCCAAAGGATCTTGGGCTTTATTGCCCC